CATATGATTAGATTCAGTTAAGAGAGAGTCCACTCCAGGAGAGGTAGAACATACATATAGTATGATAAATATATTTTTACATTTGTATCAATATACAAAATATTTCAAACAGGAGTAAAAATATGTGCTTAGTGCAATAATTATAGTTTTATATTTGTACTAATATACAAGTTATCCCAAATAGGAATATAAGAATAGTTTACATTTGTATCAATATACAAGAATCCATATCAGTGAAAATTATCCAAGGTTGATAGTTTGCTAAATTAATTTACTAGTAGATACAATAATCTACCTTAATATACTATACCTATTCGTTCCCCTTTTTTCTTTTCCAAAAAAGAATCCTGAGTATAAGTTTTATTGTCCTCCCTAACCCTATAACCATTCATTCATAACCCTGAGAAAAATAAAACCTTTGGGAGAGGGGCATTATTTTCTTAGAATTGCTTCCTGCTGGTGGCTCTTATAAAATGGCTTATCCTGTCATCATGTGTGAGAAGCCAGCAGATGATACACATCCTGAAGAATATATAGACTATATCTGGCAACCTATTCATATGAGGGATTTAAAACACATTAAGGAGGCTGTAGTTATCTATTGCACATATTCAACATATGTAAAACAGATGTTAAATAGTGGTCTTCTACAAATAGAACAATACCAGATGACTAGAATTGGTTAATCTCAGTTGTATTAGAATACGGCCAGCAGTTACAATGAAAAAGCTGGTTGAGAGAAGAGGCTAAAGTCTGTGAACAACAAGGCAAGATCAGGGGTTTTGAGATCTCCCAATATCAAATTCTTGGTGAGGTCCATTTCACTGACATAAATGTAGAAGCTACCTTTGATGAGCATATATTATCCCTATGCTGTACAGCAGCTTTAAATGCTTGGGGAACAGAACTAGGGAAACCAACTGAGCTATATACAAAGGTCTTCCAGGGGTCAGAACAGTTTACTGATTTTTCTTTTTTTTACAAAGACTAATCAGGGATATAAACAAGGCAGTATCAGATCAAGAATTAAGACAAATATTAACTCAATCTTTGGCTTTTGATCATGCTAATACAGAATGCAAAAGAATACTTACATCTTTAAAGGTCAAGTCAACATCTTTGGAGGAATGGATTCAACATATAAAAGGTGTTGAATCTCTTAACTATGGTAATAAGGCTTGGATAGGAGAGTCAATTTCCAAAGGTGAAAGGAAGCATCAAGGTAACAAATGTTTAAACTGTGGTACACCAGGTCATATAAGAAAAATTGTACACAGGGTACTCCTAGAAGCAATGCTTCTTTTAAAAATAACCCAAACAGGAAGCCCCAACCTTCTAGATTATGCATATGATATGGCAAAGGCCGACATTGGACCAATGAATGCAGATCAATAAGAGACATATGAGGCAACCCTTTAACAGCAGAAAACACCAGGGTGGGGGGCGCTCTTACTAGCCCCAAAATCAAATGTGGTCCAAATATTTCCAATCACTGTAGAGGAAATTCCTCCCCAGGACAATTAAATAACCCAGTGTCTAATGTAAAGAACGATAGTGCACTGGATGATAGAACAACTTTGATAGATGGATTAAAATTCCCAAACACACCAAAAACAAATATTTTGGCACACTTCCATAAACGAACAAAAATCAAAGTTTAGAGTGTGAATTAACATTATCCTGGAAGGATTGGTAGACACAGGTGCATATGTGACTACAATTACACCAAAATCACGGCATCCGAATGACCTCTTCAAGAGGTAGATTTCCAATTTATAGGAATTGGAATCCTATCTCAGGTAAAACAAAGTTCAAGATGGTTTGAATGCATAGAGCCAGAAGGACAAAGAGGAAGGCTGAAGCCTTATGTGGCACATGTAGCAGTGAATCTTTGGGGCTTAAATCTGTTACAGCAATGAACTACACAGATTAAAATTCTTCCAGTCTCAAAAGTGAATTATAGACCAATTCATGTTTCTGGGAATAATATTATAAGACACTATAAAAAACAGCCACTAACCACTCAGGATGTACATAAACAGAACACAACTTCCATTGAACTCTTAGAAGTACCAAGGGCCTTACCTTTAAAATGGCTAACTGATAAACCTGTCTGGGTTTGGCCAACAGCAAGGCAGAATAAGATTAAGTGGTACATTTGAAATGAAAAGGGAGAAGTGTGGGCATACATGGGCTGCAAAGAGGGTGCGGAGAGACATTCAGATAAATAGAGCTTAAGCTTTAAGGTGTTTACGCAGAGAGTGGATACAAATGGTGAGAAAGAAAGTTAGCTCGTTATTTATGCTAAGATAAGATACTAAAAAACAAGAGATAGTGTCAAGACATAAACAACTTGTAAATAGGGTGCCCTTTAAAGTGATTGGTTTGTTCCTTCACCCCCTCCTAGGGTTTGGAGGTTTTCTGGTATAAAAGAAGCTTACTGCCTATCAATAAACGAGTTCTTGCTTGACTTGACTCCCCGCTGCGTCTGATTGTCTCCGGGTAAGAGGGAGGCTGGGAACTGGGGAGCAGCGGGCACTTGCTTTTCCTCGGTTCCAGGCCACCTCTTCACAGGTGACCTAAGTTCCCGGTGGGGCAGGTCCCCACAGAGAAGAAGAAAGGAAACAGAGCGAGAAAAATGCCAGCTGATGCCCAAGGAGCAACAAGATGCCAGCAGACCAGTAATGCCATGGCCATGTGACAACATATAGATTAATAAGAATGGGTTAATTTAAGTTGTAAGTGCTAGCTAGCAAGCCTGAGCCAAATAGGCCATAGAATTGGTAATTAATATAAGCCTCTGTGTAATTATTTTATAAGTGGCTATGGGACTGGGCATGACACAGAAAAACTTCCAACTACAGATTATAAAATTATATTTTCACTTAAAATTATTACCATACTAGATATAAATGCTCTTAAAGAATGTGTATTATAGGAGCCATAGAAACAAAGAAGGCAAATTCTCAGAGGTAACCATCCCCCTGAGATAGAAGGGTTTTTTGTTGTTTTTGTTTTTTCATATCAGTTGGGGGAAGTTACTTGGTTTTATCTTATGGGCCATTTTTGTGATGTCATATCTAGACAGACAGGAAGTGTCTATCTCATCATCCTGGTAAGTAATACATCTGCAGCAGCATTTGTCTTTCTGGTCACTTGAGTGAGGCCCCATGGTTATTCAGGACTTATGTTCTTGGATAAGACATCATACATTCCTGAGTCGATCCCCAAGCAGATAAGTTGTAATTGTTTAAGGGTGGAGATTATTGTTTTGTTCTCAGCCTTTCTGTCTTTACATTTGCCCCTGGCAGAGCCGCAAGAAGATGACTGACAATAGATTAAAGTCTTCTTCTCTAGAGTTGGGATGGGGTTTAAGATAGGGAGAGAAGCAGGACTGAGTGGCATTGTTGGTCTGTCATAGGTTTATAGGAACTTGAAGCATAAAAGATTTGAGTTGCATTTGGAAGGGGGAGGGACATTTGTCAAAGACCACACTGTAAGACCCTAGAAGTTTTAAATGTGTCAGATAGGAACTGATGTTGATGGTAATAGTTGATATTGTTGGGATCACATCTGGAGGTTAATGTCCTGTCATATGTGAGATACTATCATACTAGAAGGTTAAAGAAGCAATAATTGAAAAGAATTATGTCAATAAGAAGACCCAAGAGAAGTAGTAATTAGGAAATTCAACCCATGTGCCTTTACATAGTAGGCAGACCTCAGAGAGACTGGCTTTCTGAAGTCATGTTTGTTCTTTTAGTCACTTAGCTACATCTTGCACGGTCCCTGATTAATTGACAAATGAAGCATTCCATTCCCTGGGGACAGGAAGTACACTCATACTCACCCTTGCCCTGGGCTGCTCTAAGTATGTCAAGAAGAACACAGAAGTTAGGGAGTACTACTGAGGTAAGGGAATCACACTAGTCCTGAAGGGCCTCAAGGAACATTTAGATATGGTCTGGTCCCAAGACTAAATTCAGCCATTAAAAGACAATACACGTCCACTTAACTCCTATATCCACTCCTGCCACACTTTTTTAGTTGTAATACTGACCATGAAATAGAAGTTCACTAGCTGTGATCAGCCATATTCCCTGGAATGGTTACACATGCCTCTGCCTGTGGTGATATATTGTGTACCATAATAAACTTTGCCTAAAGATTAGAGAGGCAGAGAAGCCAGCCACTAGAGTTTGTACCTCTAATTCTCAGCCTGATAGGCCTCTAGCCAAATGAGCTTCCTCAGCCAAAAAGCCTTCAGTTTCTGTCTCCTCACACCTTATATACCTTTCTTGCTGATGTTAAAGGCATGCGATTCCCAAGTACCGGGATTAAAGGTGTGTGCCACCACTGCCTGGCTCTGTTTCTCTCCTAGACTGAGTTAATCTTATGTTGCCCAGCGTGGACTTGAACTCAGAAAGATCCACATGGATCTCTGCTTCCTGAGTGCTAGGATTAAAGGTGTGTGCCACCACTGCCTAGCCTCCATGTTTAACCTAGTGGCTTTTTATGTTCTCAGATCTTTAGCAAATTTATTAGGGTACACAATATATCACCACATCTGCCCTCTGGAATCAAGCAGGCAGTGTACATCTGCCTGCACTGATTTGTGACACACCCCATGTGCAGAAAAACATGGAGAAAGAAGGAGCTTTTTCACTGAGCTGAGTCCCAGAACACTGTGTCTCTGTTTTCCCCGGTTTGGAACCTGAGTTGCCTACAGAGACTGTCTGAGGCTATCCTTATTGCCCCTTCCGCAAAAGACCTGTCCTGCATGTATTCTCTCACTAAAGTGAGATGAGATTTCAATCCAGCTGAGTGGAGAAGAAATAAAGACACCACACTCTTGAGTAAGGATATCCAGCTGACTGAAGGAAGCCACTAGGCCTCCCAACAGGGATGAATTCTGTAAGCAGCTACACCACAAACCCAAGAAGTGCAAATTCAGATCCTAGAAAAAGCCCTCCAATGAGATAGGCACACAGTTCTGAAGGTGAGGTGCCATAAAGCCTTTATTTCAAAACTGTCATTGTATTTGTTGATGACATCACTTGGGTCACAGGCAAACCATGGAGAGTGCATACAAAGCAGACACAGGAGCATCCTTTTCTCAGGGAGAAGAGAACCGGCCACAGAACAGAATGCCATTGGTCTTAACATGCTGAATGAAGAAAAGGAAGGGGTGGTCGGCACAGAAGCGGGGTGGGGGAGTGAACGATGGGGATGACCCCAAAAGGATAATGGCAGCTGTAGCAGCAGCAGCCTCTGTGCCCTCCTCAGTGACCTCCACAAAGGACTTGTGTACAACCATAGACAGAAACAAGCCTTGCTTGGAAGATATTCCAGAAAAGTCTGCCCTGTTGTCAAAGGCATCAGTCATGCCCAGCTTGCACAGGAATTCCTTCATGTCATAATTCTCTTCCAGTTTAAACTGTGGGAGGAAAACCTCCACCTTTTTTTCATCCATCTTGTCCAGCTTTGTCCACTCTATGAATTTCTCATAAGTTATTTCCTTCTCCACCTAGAAAAGAGTTGAAGACTTCAGGACAGTGTTGTCACAGGACACTTGAGATGATGGGGAGGTTCTACACTGCATGGAGAAGTGCAGCTGTAAGTTAATATAGTACCTGATAGGGATAAGTACAGCTTGGTGGTGAGTGTTTGTCAAGCAGGCTCCAGACCCTGAGTTCCACCCTAGTCTCACAAATGAGTGGAAGACAAAAACATGATCATGGGAGCCTAGGAGAGCTGCCCCAGCAGAAACCCAAATGACACTGTCTCTCACAGCTCCATCAAGGCCCCATGCTCCTTACCGTTCTCAGTTCAACGTGCTCATCTGGAAGCATGATGATCATGTTCAGCTCATTGCCAGCATAGGGAAGCAACAGAATCTTGGTGGATATCTCTTCAATATAAGTCATGTTAACGGTAGACTTCTTAAACATCATTTGCACAGGTTTCTCCTCATTCTGTGAAGGACAGATAAATATTAAGTTGAAACAACTCAAATTGGGCAAATTCAACAGAGGAAGACAGTCACTGTCCCTGAGAGCATTTCCTTCGTTAGACTTCTAGAACATTCTCTCAGCCTCTCAACTTCTGGACCAATTTAGACTTTATATGTCCCTAAAGGCCAATTTTTCAAGACTTGGTCCTCAGAGTGGAGCTTTGGAAGGGGAAGGAATCTTTAAGAGGTGGAGCCTAGAGGAAGGTGTTCAGATCATGGAGATGTTCTCTAGAAAGGGATTATCAACTTGCTATGTTGATTATCTCCATATCAGTTGTCGTGTCAGAAAACTGACTGACCCAACCTCCAAACACCTGGGATGTCCTGGGCCAAAAATGCCTTTATCAAGGGGGAACTCATTTAGTCTCATGACTTTGAACATAATTTCCAAATCCTGGGCTTCTCCCTGAACTCTGGAACAACACATTTTATGGTCAATTTGACTCCTTCAGTTTGATACAAACAAAGCCCCAATTGCAGACACACCTCTGAATTTATATTCCTTTGCAAGTTTGCTCTACACACAATTTTGCCTGTCCTAGTTGCCAGTGATACTCTCCTTCCCATTGCCAAAACCATCCCATCCCCTTTCTCTTGCTACAATCATTGTGTGTCCTTGACTCCTGTCTGTCTCTCACATTCTCCCTTAGCTCAATAATAAATAATACGGGCTCCTCCTTTGAAATATAACCATAACCTGAGTTTTTTTTAACCTCCACTGCCATCAGCATACCCCTAGAATACTGTAATGACTGCCTTGTCCCTGACCTCAGCACAGCAGTCATAAGTCCCAGCACAATGCAAGTCAGGCCACATCACTCTAGCTGGACACCCTGGTGTGGTGTGGCTCTAGCAGGAGCAAAACCCTAACCTATCTGGAATCACATCAAGAGCCCATCCTGCTTCCTCTCCTATTCACCTCTTATCATGCTCTCACCCTGCTCCACTTTAGTGATGGGCTTACTTCTGGATTTGGGGTTAACTACCTTAATGTCTCTTCTAATCCATGAACTCCTCCTGAGAACCTGGATCATACCCCTAAGGTCCTGGTGTCTGCTCGCATACCGTCTTCCCAGTGAAGGTTTCCTCTGTAGTGCTCTTCTTCAACCACACCCCAACACAGCATCCTGCCACCTCCTTTGTATGTTTAGAGCCCTTCCACCAACTCCTGTGTTCTTACCTATGCTTACATCAAAGTTTCTTCTCCAGGAAAACTTAGCCTCATGGGGACAGGTACACACAGCCGGTTAAGGCCTGGTGCACAGTAGGCTGTCAAGCAACATCTGCTGATTACATGAGTAGCAAACTAATGAGCAGCCACACTGAGTGCTGGGCAAGATGAACACCTTACCAGAAAAAAATTGTAGTTGTTGCCAACACAGTGTCAGGGAATAGGATGTGCCAGGAAACACATCCTAGTCAACAGTCTTTCTCAGTTTCTGATCCCTTGCTGTGGGATATCATTCTGTATGCTGTGAATATGTGTTTCTCTAGTTGGTTGGAAAATGAAACACTGATTGGCCAGTAGCCAGGCAGGAAGTGTAGGCGGGGTGAGCAGACGAGAAGAATTCTGGGAAGACGAAGACTTATTCAGGACTTGCCAGCCAGACAGAGGAAGCAAGATGTCGAGGCAGACCTGTGAAAAGGTACCAAGCCACGTGGCTAAACATGGATAAGAATTATGGATTAGTTTAAGTGTAAGAGCTAGTCAGTAATAAGCCTGAGCCATGGCCATACAGTTCATAATATAAGCCTCTGTGTTTATTGGGATCTGAGCAGCTGAGGACTGGGTGAGACACGGGAAAATTTTCAGCTACATTTGGCGTACCAACACGGGGCTCTCGAATTTCCATAAGGCTTAAAAGAGTTTAAAAAGAGCTTCTAAACACACAATAACGGAGCCAAAAAAAAAATAGCTTTCTACTTCATGTCTCATGTGGGCCGAGATATAGAGATGCCAAGGTACAGAGATGCCATGGTGTGTAGATTTCAGCTACAGTATGGTGGTGGGTTCACGGCATGCAGGCTTGAACTACAGCATGGTGGATTCCTGCCAAGTTATACAGAGGTTTCACCAAGTCATACAGTGCACTGCGTGGTGGATTTAGCTTTTGCTAGAACAGCCAAAAAAAAAAAAAAAAAAAAAAAAGAAAGAGGAAAGAAAGAAAAAGTTTTGGACTACACATTGCTGGAGGGAAGCATAGACCCACTGCCTCCCAGAGTCAGGAGAGAGCATGACATCCAGGGCTGGCTGTAAACATACCACTGCCATATTGGGAAGCTGAGGTGGGTGGAGTCAGCAGCCAAGGCTGCCACTTTTTGTACTAGCTACACAGTTTAACAATTTAAAATCTCCCCTGGTCAGAGAAAGATTATAGATTCACAATAATCCGATTCAGATGAAATAAAACTCTAAACTGTTTACAATGTGTGTAAAAATGTACATAGGCTTGAAAGAGATAAAAATGAATATAGACAGTTATATTAAAGAAATAGAAAGTTTTAAAAAATAAAGTCTTTAAAGAGACAGTAAAAATAATATAAAAAATAAGCCACTTAAAGATGGAAATTACACAGAGAATCTGAATTATATTGTCTTTGGGATTTTTAACTACAAAAGAAATTTGATTGTAAAAGCTGCTGAGTTAAATCGATATATATATACATACATATATATATTTTATTTTAAAGGTATCTTGATTTCAAAATTTGGATCTAAGGATATGTTGCTTTGGAAAGGAGGCTCTGCTTTTGTTTCTACAGGAAGCAAGCGGCTATGGATTTGTTCCAGGTTAGAATGGATAAATTTGATCAAGCCAGACCTTCTGAACCTTAAAAGATGGTACCTATCAACAAAGGTTATAGCCAGTCTTCCCAGGACTTGACCATTATTCTCAGGATCCCCATAAGAATATAGCACCCTTTATCAGCTGGAAATAGATGAGAAAACTATACCCACATTCCCAAAAAAATGGATTATGGATGTTTGTCTTTGTTTAGGTTGTTGGTTACAAACTGTTATTGGTCATAGTCAATATCTTTCTAAAAGAAGAAAGGGGGATATGATATGGAAATACAGGATATAGATATGATAGGATAAAAGGGTGGATGGTTGAACCTACTTTTAAAGAGCAACTTGTTTAAAATGTTTTATACTGGTATAGATTTTAGTTTATTGATACAAATTTAAAGTTAATTTTGTTATACTGTATGTATATTTCTACTCCTGTTTAAGGTATTATATCTCTGTAACTCATTTAAATTGTAATGGATAATTGAGAAATATAGATTAATAATTAGTCTCCATGATAAACTTATAGTCATGTTCTTTAAGTTTTCTAGGTACACATACATATATTTCAATTAGGAGGTAATCTTTAAACACTTCAAAGACCTACAGAATATGGCATTTAAAATGTTTTAAGAACATTGACTTTCTGGACAATGAGACACATCTGCTCCTGGCAGCACCCATTTGCTTCAAAAAAGATGAGCATCAAAGACACTCTATATGGAGTTTATCTTCTTCTTGGCAAAAATAGCCATTTGGGCAAGAAACTGTTCTTGCCTGGACTGCTTGACAAAATGTTGTATTGACTGGACATGCAGGACCCATAAGAAGGTGACCACTGAACATTGCAAAGCAAAATAGTCCTTCAGGTTCCTGCTTTGCAGAAGAATTGCCAGACATTCTACAGGACACAGAGAAAAATGATGGAGAGACTAAGCCTATGGGCTGAAGATGGATGCACCAATGCTACAGAGGAGCTTTGGATGACTGTCCAGGCAGGCAGCTGTCTCTGTTGTTTCCAGAGTTTTGGAAGTTGCTTACAATGCTCTTTCTGTTTACTTAGGTAATATATCCTTCTGAGGTCTTTGATATAATTGAAGACTAGACATTTATAATTATGGTTTTCCTTGGTTATGATAAGAGATAAGGTAGATATGAAATTTTAGACTCACAAATATAGGATAGATGATAGAATATTTTCTTTGAATTTGCCAAATACAAATAGACTACATATTATAATTGTAATTCTTGCTTGATAACTGTTTTGTTATTTGTAATTTTACTATGTTAAAGTTAAAAATCTTCCTTTTTGATTAGACAGAAAAGGGGAAGCATTGTGGGATGTTGTTCTGTATGATGTGAATATGTATTGTTCTAATTGGTTGATAAATAAAACACTGATTGGACAGTATCCTGGCAGGAAGTATAGGTGGGGTGAGCAGACAAGGAGAATTCTGGGAAGAGGAAGGCTGAATCAGGAGTCACCAGCCAGAAAGATGAAGCAAGATATCAAAGCAGAATTGCAAAAAGATACCAAGCCATGTGGCTACACAAATACAAGAATTATGGGTTAGTTTAACTGTAAGAGCTAGTCAGTAATAAGATTTAGTCATGGCCAAATAGTTCATAATTATTATAAGCCTCTGTGTGTTTATTGGGGACTGAGCGGCTGTGGACTGGGCAGGACACAGAAAAACTTCCAACTACAGTCCCTCTATAGTTTAAATCTAGAAGCTACTGTAGAATCTATGGAATTTCTTGTGATAGACACAACCGAAGACCCTTTGCAGTCCCCCTTCTCTGGTACACAACACCATTCTAAGCGATTGAAACACATTTCTGTAGTTCTGTTCTGTGATCAGTGTATCATGGCTCCTTGAACTAGCCATGAGCCAGGTAGCTTGCTATCCTTCTCCTCATTCATGTCCTTGACCCCAGACCGGCATACTTTACCCATAATCAACCATGATTTATGCACTTTTGCTTGGTTCTGTGGGTCACACACTTTCTGTCACAACTAGTCATTAGTAAATGAATAAGGGTAAATGTGTAACATAAAACTCTGTCTAGGAAAACTGGTCTGGGATGAATTTGGAATACAGGGTGCTAACCTCTGCTTTAGACAGTTTCTCCCCACATACCTCCAAGATCCAAAGCCTCTAATCATGCAATATGAAAAGACCCAATCTTAGCAAATTAATGATTCACTATTTGTGTCTGTAAGCTGCATTCCATTCATATGGAATAAAATAAAATGAAAGCCCAGATCATTTCAAATTCTGTGTCTTTGGAGGCACTGTAACATGTACTCCTCAGATTCCAGTAACACTCACAGCCAGCAGGCAGAACCCAGTCTTTCTCTACTGATAAGACAAGAAAATAAGACAGATGACTTCACAGCCCTGCACTTAGCAGAAGCAACACTAAACAGTTCCATTTATACAATATCCAGGAGAGAGCTCAGAGGGAGAGGCTATTAGCTCCCCATCTCTGTCCTTCCCCTGGACTGTAAAGTCAGAGTCTAAGCCATCATGTAACCATGAGGGAATAAGCCCATGTTAAGGATGGCAGAGCAGGAAAGGAAAGCCAGTTCCCAAGAGCTCCACCCCAGTGCATGGCAGCCACAGGCTCCATACATCTCCTGCCTACTAGTAGGTGATGAACTTATATAAGTTCAACTACAGAGATCTGGGGTCTCTGTTTCTCGCAGTTGAAGGAAGTCCTAACATACATCTTGTCAATAATTAATATCAAAGACAAAAATAGTTTTGTCAGAAGAAAAAATGTCATTCAAGAACAAAGCTTGAAATAAAAGGCATTTCTGAAGAAACTGAAGATTCAAATCCAATTTGCCTGGGAGATCTAAGGGCTAGTTTACTGTCCAGAATATGATACAATTAATCTGGTCTTTTGGCCTAGGAGTATGTGTGGAAGAAAAACCAAACCAAACTAAACAAAAACCACATATGAATGAAGTGAATTGATGACAGAAAGATGATAGGCCATCAATAAGTATTATCCTGCATACACATCCTTTGTGTGCTTGTCTATAAGCAAAAATCTGTGCTTAGCCCATCAAACCAAGACAAATTTCACACGCTGCTTAGACCAGTCATTAGCCAGGAACCCAGTAGACAGCTGTCTGCCCTCTGCTCTTTTTCCAGCAGAGTGAGAAAGGTTCTTTTCCCACTGTATTGTTTTGTGGCAACCAGCTGGAGTTGTGGTCCTCTTGAAGGAAGGAGAAGATATAAGACAATGCTTCTAGGAAAACGCACTGAAAAGAAAGGAATGTGCACCACTGAGGGGAATCACGAGAATGGGCTGCATTCAAGGCCACAAAGAGCCTCAGACACCACAGCTGGAGTTTAGACTTCTATATCTCCAAAGTTATATGGCAGACTGTTTGAGGTACACTGCAGAGCTCTGCCATCATGTCTGACCTCAACAGCTGCCAGTGACACCATGACCAGTGAGAGAAGCAGGGCCAGGCCTGAACCCATGCAGACTGCAGCCACTGTTGGCAACATGCAAAAGGAAAGGGAAGAGAAAGGCCTCTAAGCTGAGAGAGCAGTCCTGGCTGCTGAGCTGCCCAGAGACATGAGAGGCACCGGCTATGTGAAGCAGTTGTAGACTAGTAGAAGCAGCCTCCTTGTGTTTCAGAAGCCAGTGTGAACAGGGGACCTTAACCAGGAGTCTCCTCTGCTACAGCACTGTGTTTACCTTGGTGATTTTGAAAGGCATCTCCCTGGTGTCCTCTTTGTTAAACTGCTTCTCCCAGTTTCCTTTGAAGTAGATGGCATTCACAAGGACCAGCATGGTGCTTGGTTTTACCATGTAATCATCCAGCATCTCTTTAATTTTATCTGAAAGGAATAATTAATAAGCCAGTTAACTAAAAGAATTGGCTGAAGTAAGACACAGGAAAATATTTTGGGAAGAAAAACTTAACTCTTTGAATGAACATAGTAGATGCTAACAGGTCAACAGGTACAGCATGAAAGTGATGATTGATGATTGATGTCTACAGCTTAAATAGTTCAATAGGCTGTTATAAGACAGAATGGTTATAAGTTCCTATTTTAAAAACATTTGAAGAAGGGCCTAGAGAGATGGCTCAGCAGTAACGAATTTGGTTGTCAGTATCTACAATGGATAGTTCACAAACACCTGTAACTCCAGCTCCAGGTAATCCAACACCCTCTTCTGGCCTCAACAGGCACATACACACACATGTGGCATACATTCACACAGACATACACTCACATAGAAAAAAAATTATATATATATATATATATATATATATATATATATATATATGAAACAACAAATATATTTATCCTGATCTTAACATTACAGAGTACATGTGTATTAAAAATCATGCTGAGGTACCACAAGTACACATAATCCTATGTATCCATTTAAAAATTAAATTTAAATAAGTAGAAGAGCAGTTATAAAATGTGCCTTACAAGTATAAAGCACAGGCTACAGCCACAGCTTAAAATGGGGGTGGGGCCAAGCCCTTGAAATGATGCAGGAAAACTGTAAACACCAGACAATACCAGACAGGGAGGAGCTGCAGCAGAAGCCTTCTACCCTTTGCTTGTGAAAGTAACAACAACAACAATAATAATAACCTGAAAGGGGAGGGGAAGAAGGGAAGGAGGCAGAGAAGCAAGGCCAGGAGGCTGGGTGGCTCTGGAAGAGATGTATTAAAGGTACATTGCCAAGAGCCGGAAAGGGCTAGGCAAGGTGTCAGACCCTGACAATATTTAAGAAGCAGATTTGTAAAATTTGTAAATACTTGGAGGAAAGCTTCTTAAACTCTGGGTTATAAGCTTATTGACACTGAATGTGGGGTCAGTGGCAAAACTTGAACAGTTAAAGCTTTCTGAACACGTAACAGCCGAAACTTCAGCCAAACTCAAATGCATGATGAACCCAAGGCGCTTCTGGCAGTGGCTCACCTCTTGCTTCACACTGCTTCACTGTTTATAGCTGATGCCTTAGTGAAGGGACTAAGGAGACAAACTACTGAATGCACATTAGGGCAAGAGAAGTGGCTTGGCAGGGGAAGGTGCTTGCCATCAACTCTGAAGACCTGAGCAGAATCCCCAGAAACCTACAGGGTGGAAGGAGAGAAGCACTCCTGTAGGCTGTCCTCTAACCTACACACACACACACACACACACACACACACACACACACACACACACACACACTCTAGATGATAGATAGATAGATAGATAGATAGATAGATAGATAGATAGATAGAATGTTTACTGTACACTAAATTGATCAATATGGCCTCAGTGGCAGAGCAGGTCCTGCTCAGTGTATTCAGGCTCTGGATTCAAACCCCATCTCTGAAAACAAACAAACACAACAGTGCTGTGGGATGTTCTGTATGGCAAATGTGTTGCTGATTAGTCAATAAATAAAACACTGATTGGCCATTGGCTAGGCAGGAAGTATAGGCGGGACAAGGAGGAGAATAAAGCTGGGAAGTGGAAGGCTGAGTCAGAGAGACACTGCCAGCCACCATGATGATAAGCAGCATGTGAAGATGCCGGTAAGCCACGAGCCAGTGGCAAGGTATAGATTTATAGAAATGGATTAATTTAAGCTGTAAGAACAGTTAGCAAGAAGCCTGCCACGGCCATACAGTTTGTAACCAATATAAGTCTCTGTGTTTACTTGGTTGGGTCTGAGTGACTGTGGGACTGGCGGGTGTCAGAGATTTGTCCTGACTGTGGGCCAGGCAGGAAAACTTTAGCTACACAACAGATCAACTCTGTGTTCACCTTCTGTCTTTTTGGCCACCCAGGTGTTGATGTGCTGTCGGGACTGCTCTGTATCTCCCTGAAAGTCCAGCTCTTCCATCTCTGCTCCATAGAACTTGCGGCAGGAATCTTTAAAAGACTGAGACAGAGCAACATAACTACACAGCCATGGAAGTGATTAGCACCAACAGCCTCCTTCCTCGATGCACAAAAGCAGAAAATCAAAATGAATGGTAATTTACAAATAAATATAAGGAAATAACTTAAAACCCAACTGTGGTAGTTAGAATGAGAATAGCCCCCATAGGCTCATATATTTGAACACTAATTGCTCAGTGGGTGAAAATCTTTGGGAAAAATGAGAAGGTGTGGCCTTGTTGGAGGAGGTGTGTCACTGGGATCGGGCTTTGAGGTTTAAAAAGACTAGCTCCAGTTCCAGGACAGCCAGGGCTACACAGACAAACCCTGTCTCAAAACACATAAACAAATAGACAAGAAGACTAGCTCCATTCCCAGGGTGCTCTCTCTGCTTCCTACTCGCAGTTTTGAGAGCTGGGCTCTCAGCTGCTCCAGCACCATGTCTGCCTGGCTGCTGCCATGCTCCCTGCCATGATGACGATGGACTCTAACTTCCTGAAACCATAAGCCCGATTTCTTTTACAAATTGCCTTGGCCATGGTGTTTTGTCACCGCAATAGAAAGTAACCAATACACCAACTTCTCATTTCCAGCTCTCTTTAATCTTAGTTTATGAACAAAGTGGGATGGTGGACTGAGTGTCAGTTAAAAAAAAATGTCATAAACAGCTGAAACCTTGAAGTAGTAGCTGAGGCTCGGGAGACAATGAGGAAGACCCCCAGATGCAGTACTATACTGCTGTCACTCTAGTAGCCCACCACATGGGCAGAGTGAGGCTTAACCCCACAAGGGCTATGACACCTCTGCACTGCACAGGATGGACCTTCTACCACAGTTTTCCATGCTAACAGAAATACAAATGTGCACCATTCAAAATGGTGTCACCTACAGCCCCAGAACACCAGGGAATGGCCATGGAAGCTAAGAAACTGAGTATTTCATTTTCATTTATTTTACTTCATGATGTGGAATTTGAAAAGCTATGTGTCCATGGTCACCATCTCAGGCAGCTCAGTTTCTGGGAGTGAGCAGTTCACAAAAACACAGTCCATGCTGGAGTGGGGTTCGGTGGTGCAGCACAGAAGTGGAGGACCAGCCTGGCATGCATAAGGCCTTAAAGGAACTGATCACCAGCACCACAAGACAAACCAAAGTTCCATTCATTTGCTGATATATTCTGTAAAATGACAATGACTTTAATGACCACCCACATTCTGCCTTGTTACAACAGAAAACTCAATATGGTGTAAATGGGCTGAAACTCCCACTATACTGAGTGTATATGGAATATATATATTTATTACATAATATATAAACAATATAATACATATATTATATACTGTATATTTATATAATGTATGTTATATATTATATTTATATACTTTAAAAATATATTATACATTTATATATCAATATGTTATCAAACAGCTCAGGGCTGCATATTTAACTCCTTTTTGAAAGAACTATCTCTTATTTTTTATTTGTATGTTTACGTGTGTGTGGCAAATAAATGTACATTTCATTTGGATATGTGCACATATGTTGCAGGAGTGTATGTCAGTGTGTGTAAGTCTGTGTGATAGCTAGAAGATAACTCCAGCCTACCATCTCTGAGTACCACACAACACTTACTGCAAGGACAGCAAAAGTCTTTTCCCCGAAGAGTCTGTTGGCTGTTTTGAGCAAGTACTGTGTTCCAGGCTTGTTCACTTCGCTGAGAAGTGACTGGAAGCCCTGGTGGACATCTCCACCTCCACTGCTGCTGCATTTATCCAAAGAAAGCGCCTGAAATCAAAACAGATTCAAACACAACTTCAGCAAGCCCAGCTATACGAAATGAGGCAACACTAAACTCATCCTCAAAATCTTATAGATCCTTGCTGCCACTCAAAGAGCCACCTAGTTAAAGATGAAAATACCTTGACTGCTCCCTCTCTAGGATCCTGCCCTGTTTTCTGTCAGCCCTGAGCAGAAATGGCCCTTCACAAGCCCAGCTCTTCACGTTCACTAATTGTGCTCTGGCCTCATGCATGGCTACCAAGCAGACCTGCCATGACTCCAGTACAGCCAGTTCTGACCTCAGACCATGCTGTCTCTTCCCTGCTCTTGGGTCTGGACTGGCTCTAGCACTCTCTGCCCAACAGAATGGAGGAGAGTGACCCTGTTCCAGCCTGGGCTTTAAAAGGCCTGGTAGGTGCCACATTTGTTCCCAGACATCATGGTGGAAGGAATCTAAGCCATCCTTCAGGAGGCCACATGGAAAATTCTGGAGTAAATGCTACCACATAAAGCTGCTTGAAAGAGATGTAAGACCCCAGCCAACAGTGAACACCTAGATGCCAGACCTCAGATACAATTCCATAGGCCTTCCAAGCCTCTGAAAAAGGTACACAAAAGACTTCAGTTGCTCCCATAGGAAACAGATGAACTGCCTATCAGTAGTTGTTACAGCTTAGAATTAAAAGAGAGAGACAGAGGGGGGGGAGAGGGAGAGAGACAGAGAGTTTAAACTGAAGGCAAGACTTTAGGTTCTAACTCTCTCCAATAAGGAGGCAGGCTAAGGAAGAAACAAACACATTTGTCTTGTAAAAACAGAAGGGTGCTTCGAGGAACTAACCCAGAACGCAAAGTTGTGGCTCAAGGTGGTCATGGATTAGGAAAGACTCTCTTCAAACACAAGTGTGGGGGTGAATCAAGATACCCCCAACCTTGGCATTCAGGAAACTGGGCATACACACTTTGCTGTGGTTCAGAATTGCTAGTTCAGAGACTGCAATGTGTTTTTTCCCATGTGCTGAATGTGTACCCCAAATTGGCATATTGACATCTGGCATCCAGTTCCTCAGAATGTGACCATATTTGGAGCTAAGCCTTTATAGGCACAAAGAAGTTAAAAGGAAGTCATTAGAGTGAGCTAAATCCCATCTGACTTGTGTCCCTATAAGAAAAGAAGACCATGACCTAGACAGCCAGAGAGGACAAAGATGCCATGTACAATCCACAGAAAACCAGATTTCCAACTCCTTGATTTTTAGAATTCAGCCTCTGGAACTATGAGAAAATACTCTGTTACTTAAGCCACCCCATCTGTAGCAAAAATTTGTTACACGGTCCCTAGCTGATGGTCCCTCATGGAGTGTGCACTGTCCTTATCCCTCACTGTCTCTCCACCTTATTCTGGGGCAGCCTGTCTCTGTAGTTCATATACTTCTGCAGAGAAAAAGCATTGTACCCAACAAGAACCCCAGTGGTCCTATCCCTCTCTACCAGCCAAGGCTGACCCCATTTGGGAATGAACTTCAAGATCTTCATTGGAGACCTTATCTGTAGGAGAGTTGAGATCCGTTGGGTCCAGACAGCAGACAGTGGAGGTCATGGGAGCCTTGATGCCATGCCTTTGGTATTTTTGTCCCAAGTTAACCCTCACATACAGTCCCCACCAGTGGATCAGGATGCTATAGCTAGGGTTCCAGCACAGGTAGCACATTCCCCCATCAACTCTCCCGTCACACCCCTATGTCATCTGCAAGGGCAATGTGGAGTGTGGAGGAACAGCTCAACTGACAGTCCATGGTATTAATCTGGTGGGAAATGGTGCTGGTTACCTGAATCATCTGGCTTGCAGTGTCTCCCTTTGCCCCCATGAAGACCATGGCCAGGGCTGAGGAGATGCTCATGGGTGAGAAAAACACATTTTTTGAGCTGTCTTCTCCCAGTATTTTCAAAAGGTTTAAGGCAAAGGTGCCATTTGCTTCCTGCAGAGGATCCATGATTGCAAGCCTGGAACGAGGGATTGAATCAGTATCACATGAATACAGCTGATGTGTAGGCCGGGTTTTCACTCTCATTCACACAGTGATGCTGCGCCTCAGTGAACACAGGGAAAACACAGCCTGGAAATGAAAGGTCACATGCAGAAAGTGATACAGCCCTGCTGGGGTAACTCAGGCCAGCGCCTTGTCTTCCTCATGTGCAGAAATCAGTACACGGGGAACCAGAAGGAAATGGCTCAGAGGACAAGAGGCAGGTAAGGACCCACCAGCCAGGAAGTCCACGAATGCAGCAGTGCAGGCTGGAAGCAGGCAACTGCAGAAGCAGGGCCTGTCAGCTCTGACATTACCCCCATGCAGCTGTCAAATTCCCTTCCCCAGTTAGACAGTACAACAGTTCTAAGATTTCCCATCAGCCCCCCTGAGCAGTGGCTGAGAACTCACAGAGCATGGGAAGAGGATGCAAGAGACCACAGGGAAGAGAAGTGTGCCCAGATGCAGTGATCTGAACAGAATACATGGCACAACTTTACACTACTGCTGTGGACAACTAGACTGGACTGTGAGATTCTTTGGGCCCTGAGAGGGTGGCACACTCCTTTAATGCCAGCACTCAGGAGGCAACTCTGAGCTCCAGGCCAGGCTGGCCTCAAACTATCATCCCTCTGCCTCAGCCTCCTGAGTACTGGGATTACAAGTGTACAGCACCACACCTGGCTTCCCTCCCAGTTTTTTCTATTTGCTGTTGATTTCTGTCTGCTGATTCTACAGGTGCAATCCATGAAAACAGACATGCAGATAAAGGTGCTAAGTGAACTTGGTTTTTGGAGCTAAGTGTGAACCATATGCTCCCTCTCTGTGTGATGACACAAGTCATAGGTGCAGTTACTGAGGGTAGTCCTGAAACACAGGACACTCCCAATATGAAATGATAACATCAGCCATCCCTGTAACCTGGGCTCCCAGCACTAAAATCCCTGATCACATGACCTTAACCCAAAGATTACTCAGTACATCAAATATCACAGCATAGTCCTAAACCACACCAGAAAGGTACAAACATCCTTAGGAATAGTCCTATCACAAAGTAACTGCCCTCTACAACCCCCCCCCCAACACACACACACACACACACACACACACATATCCTGCATTAACCTCACCCAGCATTCCTTCACAGACCAGTGTTCCCCGATGATAAGAAAAGGACATAGAAACTGGCTAGGCACTTGAGGGCTAGGGCCACCAAAAGAGTCACTTCCAGTAATGATCCTGGTTCACTGGCCACAAATGCCAGAAGGGAGCTCAAGTTTCTAATCCCCCTTGCCTGGAGGCTACATGTGAGGGTGGGACCAAACTCCAGTCCAGATACAAGTCCTTCTGAGCAGCTGTAGGAACTGGATCTCTAGATTTTCGTGGTTAAAAAAAAAAAAAAAAAAGTTACATCTATTTCCAACTTTAGCCCATCTCCCTAATGATTGAATGTTACCTTTTCTCAGGGAGGAATGTTGCAGGAGCTGTGCTCAGGGCTCTCTGTTGAGACCCATGAAGGAAAAGCTATTTCCTTCTGACCAAGAGATTGGACTCTACCTCAGGCCTGGGTGCATCTAACATTCCAAGCTACTCTAAAAGAGTTAATCACCTGGCTAACAAAACAAGGAGAAAGGGAGGGGAGAATTAATTCACAGGACAATTTCATCCGGAATAGAAAACAGATCAAAACTTTTCATATGATTTCCTAGCCTGGCAGACATAGAATCACTTAACATTTCGCCCAACATGAGTTTAAGAAAAAATACACTAAAAGATCTGGAAAGTTCCTCACGAGTATCTATCTTCACAGATTGAGGGTCTCCAAAGAGCTGTGATCTGAGCCTAACTTTCCAGACTCACACACAACTCTCAAAGACCATGACACATTCCAGAAGAGACTCCAGAAAAGAAGGTCCAACACCATTGGCATAAACTCACAGGCCTCTCTCTGGCCCCGGCCCTCTACGATTCCAAAGCCTGTCGCATGTGTTAGGAACCTGGGATCTCACCATCTGGTCAACCAGGGCCACATGTGGCCCCGGGTCCCCGGTCCCCGCGCATGGACCCTATCATACACAAGACACCTCAATAGATGCTTAGCCAGCGCACCTGGCATCCCAGCGGGTAAGCGGCAGCGCCACCAGTTGGCTGGGGCCACAAGGCGACTCTCCCAGTGCAGTCACCGTAGCTGTGGCAACCCAGCAGCCTGGAGAAACCCTGCCCCAGATCCTGGGGCTCTTGCCGCTCACCACACTTCCCCCTCCTGCCCACGTCCCCACCGCCCCGCGCCAAAGCCAGACCGCAGCAGAGCGTAGCCAGCAGAGCGTAGCCGGGATTCCAGGTTCAGTGGCCTATAGCGGGCTGAGTTGAGATCTGGAAGCCCTAGTGGAGCCTTGGGTCTCAAATACCGGAGGGGTGGAGAGGTGGGTGGAGTCTGGAGCCTGAGGCTCCGGCCTGAGCGGGAAGGTGAGTGGGTGGGAGTGGGGAGTGGGGGTGGAAGGGGGAGGGGTAGGAAAAGCAGAGAGTAGTACCAGATGACCATAGCTCAACAATCCATCCCTTCCTCTAGCTCCTGGCCTCCCCGCCTGCCAATTCTGCAGCTGGTCTTTCCACCCTGGATTCCTTTGCTTACTGCAGGCTCTTGGGAAACAAGGACTAGAACAAACCCAGGTGGTGTCTTTGGGTTGTTTCCTACACAGGACCAGAGTGAGGTCTTACCAGCCTGTTCACTGTGCCTTCTTCAAGACTGAATGACAGCCTTACCACCACCAGAGTGTGCCAGCACTTAGCGGGCATAAACGGGACAGAACAGAAGAGAAGTTTAAAGCGAGAGAGGAAAGAAGACTTTTATTACCGAGGCTGGAGAGAACACTTGTCTAGCACCGATATAAATATATATATATCTATATCTATCTATCTATCTATCTATCTATCTATCTATCTATCTATCTATCTATATATATATATATATATATATATCGGGAGCCCGTTTTCGGGTTCCTCGTGGCTTTACCCAGCAGGTCCGCATAGAGGATGATTAGGACCACCAGCCTGAGTGCAGGTGTCTGAGATGGTCTGCACTTGGCTGTGCTGGGGGAGGAGGTCTTTTGCTCCACCCCTTGGTGTCTCTATAAATACCCTGGGGCAGAGACAGTCGGGCCCATTGAAAAGGTTCCAGGCCCTCTCGAGGCTATCCTTTATTTTCTATCTGTTTATCTCCGCAAGATTCTCTGCAATAAATCCTTCTATCTAATATTTTCTGCTGCTCACACTCAAGAAAACTCTGGGGAACTGTGGGGTTGGTGGGTAAACGCCCCACTATATATATATATATATATATATATATATATATATATATATGTGTGTGTGTGTGTGTGTGTGTGTGTGTGTGTGTGTGTGTGTGTGTGTGTGTATGTATGTGTATATATATATTATATATATATTATATATATAATATATATATACATGCCAAGGGTGTTGGATCTGCTTTTCTGGAGCCTCTTCTGAAATGTGTCTGGGTCTGTGTGAGTTGTGTGCAGGGTTCTGAAAAGTTAGATCAAACTGATGCTCTTTGGAGACCCCCACTATGTAAATATAGAGTCTATTGTGAGGAACTTTCCAGATCTTTTTCCAGCAAGCTGACCCATCTACCTAGCAGATGTCAGTGGAAAACCAGGGAATCAACCTAGCTGTGAGTTTCTACTTTTAAAGGACTGAAACATAGGGAATTCTCAAAGTATCTCACTCCCATTAGCTTCTTGGATCCTTTTCTCTCTAACAATGTTTCTGGCCTATCCTTCCAGTATATCCTTTGGGAAAACACACTCTGTATGTATATATACTGGAATTCTATATACAACTCTAATTTCCACCTTTCCTCTCGAGGAATAGCATTTTGTTATCTCTTAGTAGTTTTGTAAGTTGAATTTAAAACACGCACGCTCACACACACAATTTTGGAGATCCTTCTAATATGGTACGTAGAGCACTTCCTTATTCCCTCTCCTGGCTGCACAGTATCCCTTTGTGTGCTTATAGATCAGTTCCTTTGGGTTTAGGTTTTTAAACAATGTTATCTGTACCTAGTCTGGCACCCAACAGTGTCAGCACACACAGTTATCCAGAGGGGTACATACATTTCAATTCAGTAGAAACTAACAAGAGCCCCCATGGCTAATCCTGAGGGTGATAACCCACCCTATGCATAACAAGAACTTAGTATGTATATTGTGTAGTAATGGCAGAGATTCTTGGATTCCTAAAAGGAGGATTGTCATATCAAAAGATAAATACACCAATCTTTTTCTATCAACTCCCCCACTATAAAGATTGCCATTTTTCTCCCTGACAAAGAGTCTCTGCTTGGTCTGACCTTACTCATTCTTAGGAATCTTTTGCAAGGTTTGTCTCTGCACTTGCTGGCAATATTCAGGTTTTCGTGATTTCATTTTGAGCCAGGGTCTCGCCATGCAACTCAAACTGGCCTCAAGCCTGTACTCCTTCTCCCTCCACCATGCCATTCCCAATAGTAAGAGAACACATCATCAAGCCCAGCTGTAAATCTAACTTTAACAAGAATCCTGGTGCACATCAGTCAGCTAGAAACCCTCATCTTCAATATCTCGTCAGCTTTGATCTGATCAGCCTGGCATGTGTTCAACAAGAATCTACTGGGTAGATATAGCTAGAATCCCCCTCGCTTCTGAGGTTTTCTTTTAGCAGTTTTCTATCAACCAGCACCCACCTGCTCCTTAGCTATAAGTTACCTACTATCCGTGTTTTATTGTGAACTGAGCCCCAATTTCTGTCTCCCACTACACAATCTTGGTACAGTGGACCCTAATGTCCATGATGATGATCCATCCTTAGGAACACTGTCTTTACTGTATTTTCATCAACCAGACTTTTCGGGCCAAAGCCCTGGCTTCACTCTTTCCAAAGGTCTAGACTCAGTCACTGGGCCCAATATGGTAATTAAAAGGGTAAATGATGGAGAAAAGCTGAGAGGATTCAATTAACATGTATAGAAAAGGAACAGGTAAAAATGGACCAGGGGCCCTACATTCATCTTCAGAGTACTGGTGTGAGCTTTATGTTTAAACAGGGTGAGATTTGGGGCAGGGAAGTGAGGCATACATAATTAAATAGTACTGGTCAAGGTGAGGTCTGGTTAACCATAGTCTAAGTTATGGTTCTTCGGTGTGATCCAAAGAGCTCTCATTATTGGAGGGGACAAGCAGGCCCATGGCAGGTGAGTATCCTCATTATTGGAGGGGACAAGCAGGCCCATGGCAGGTGAGTATCCTCATTTGGAGGCTCTGCTGTTGCTGAAGTCCAGAGTGACTCTAGGCTGGACAATAACGGGAGACCCAACACACCTTTGTGGGTTCTGCGAGAGGATATTATAAAAGATGTCTTTGTGCCTT